CCCCCACTCAGTGCCCACTCACTCCAGAGGCCCTGGGACAGGTGCGTGCTGCTCCCCCCGGACGACTTGGGCAGGGAACACTTCTGGCACATGCACTCCTTCCCATTGAAGGTCACTCGGTCCCCAGGCGGAAAGGGCAACCTGCAACAAGAGGACGAATTACAAGCCAGGACCACCTCTGCGCTTCTCTGGTGGGGAGGGGAGCCCCACCCAAGATACACTCCGTCACCTCCCCCTGGGACCCCCACGGACAGGCACCACGGGCCCAGGACGCAGGATCCCTCCATCCAGGTGCTCTGTGTCCCTGCCGTGTGACCCCAGGCTGTCCCTGACGCCCGAGCCTCAGTGTCCTCAGGCACACCAGCAGGCCGAATGATAGCGCAGCAGAGAGAGCAGCGAGGCCAGCCCAGGGCCGGGCCCCGGGCACCAACCGGGCAGCCGGCACCACCGGCCTCCTCCACTCCACCCACCGCCTCTGGCCCCCCAGCGGGCTCCGTCCACACGTGTCCCACTCGCACTGAAGGGCACCTGGGCTCTTTCCAGGTTGGGGCTGGGACAAGAAAGCAGCTGAGGACACTTGCTGACGGTCTGTCCGTTGGACCCGAGCGTTTGTTTCTCTCAGTGACGCTGGGGAGTGGAAGCACCGGGTCATACGCTAACTGTGAGTCTGCGGCAGACTGACTTCCACCGAGGCTGCACCGTTTCGCATTCCCACCAGGAATGTACGAGAGCTCCTCGTGCTTCCAATCCTCGCCAGCGCTCTCACTACCCACCTCCGCTTTAGTCATCCCAGCGGTTCTGAAATGGTATTTTTGCCATAACTCTAACTTGCATTTCCCCTGCTGATGACAAATGATGTTCAGGGTGTTTCCTGTGTCTATCGGTCACTCGTGTACGTATATTCTTTTGTGGAGTATCTGTTAAACTCGTTTGCCCATTTTTAAGAGGGTTTTCTCTTTTTTCTGGTCTTCTTATTGACTTGCAGAAGTTCTTTATATGTTTTGGACACCAGCCCTTCATGAGACACTATCTTTCAGCTGACGGCTCGCTTTTGCATCTTCTGTATGTCTTTTGACAATTTTCTTCAGCTTGCAAGATTTCCTTTAACTTTGCTGTAGGGGCAGGACTGCTGGCAATAAATTCTGTTGGCTTTTGTGTGTCTGCAAAGCTCTTCACTTTGCCTTCCTATCTTGTGTGACAGTTTTCCGACACTTTTGTTCACTACGTTCTAACATTCACGCAGCATTCAAAGGTTGTTAGTGTGTTCAGTGTTGTGCGACCGTCCCCATAATCAATCCAATGATATTTTTTATCACACACACCCCGCCCCCCGGTAAAAGAACACATACCCTTTACTGGTCTTACTGTTTTAATTTTTTATTTTTTTAAGAGTTGGAGAACTGACATTCATTGAATAACTGTTTTGATTCAATGTGGAATTTCTGAATTCCAGATAAATAAATTTCACTTTTGAACATTTGATTTGTTACTTTTTAGCACCAACAGGCTTGGTAATAGCCTGAAGCTGACCTGACAGTGGGTTGATGACTTTCCCTTACTAGCTGCTTAATAACAAGTCCTTTGCTTCTTCTGTCACTCTCCCAGGGAATGGCCTACTGCCCTCCTTTCGGTACAATCTAGGCAAACCGACCCGTGATGGCGAAAGTAGTATCAGTGAAGCGGTCCACACAGCTAGAGAGACAATTTTCAGTGCGAAGGTCTAGGCGATTCCCTGGCTTCTCCACACATTTATCCCAACATAGCTCCATGAAGTGGTGCACCTGGGCAGTGAACTGCGCCTTCTGCTGTTTGGCCACCACGAAGCATTGCAGCTCCGCTTCGTCAGCCTCTCCCAGCTCCGCCATTGTGCGCGTTGGGCCGGACTTCCGAGCTGCGTGCGCGTGTCTCTATTTTTGAAAGTGTTTTTTGGCTGGGTTTAGAATTGTTTGATAGACTTTTTTCTCTCAGCTTTTTAAAGATGCTGTTCTATTGTCTTCCGGCGTACATAGTTTCGGGTGAGCAGTCTGCAGTCATGCTTTTATTCCATTGTACGTAATTTTTTTGTTGTTGTTTTTTCTCTTGTTGCTTTTAAGATTTTCTTCTTATTACTGTCCCTCAGAAATTTGATTATGATACAGTTGGTAGGTTTTTGCTCTGTTTAGTCTGTTTGGGGTTCACTAAGATTCTTGGAACCATGAGTTTAGAGCTTTCGTCAAATTTGGACCTTTTTCAGGTTTTATTTCTTCAAATTTTTCCAGTCTTCTCCCATCCCCTGGGTCTCCCCCTCCAAATCTAAAGGGACAGACAGAGAGAGAGCTATATCCACAGATCACTCGTTTCTCTTCATATTTTCAGTCTTTTTTCCTCTCTTTGCTGTAGGTTAATAGTTTGTATAGTTACATCTTCAAATTCACCAGTCTTTTCCTCTGCAAAACCTAATCTACGGCTAATTCTTTCCAGGGAATTTCTCATTTCAGAAACTGTAATGTTCATTTTGAGAAATTCCATTTGGTTTCTTTTAATATCTTCTGTGACACTCTTACTTGTGTTCATGTTTTCCTTCAAATACCTAAACATATTACAGTAGCTGTTTTAAAGTCCTTGTCAGTGAGTTTCACTGTTGCTCTCCTTCCTGGGTCCATTGCTGTGGGCTGATTTTTCTTCTGGCTTCATGTCACATTTTCATTTCTTTTTACAAATAGTAGTAGTATTTGATTGAATGTTGAACGTTGCCGAGGGCTGGAATTTCTTTTCTTCCTTCAGGGAGTGTTTGACTTTGCTTTGACAGGTGGTTAGCTGGTTTGCGGATCAGCCTGACCTTTTTGAGGGTTTTTTTTCTTGCACTTTGTCAGTGCAGGTTTATAGTAGCCTTTGCCCTAGGGCTCAGTCCCACCGATAAGGCATGGCCCTTCTGATATCCCTACTGTGTGCCTGGATATTCAGCAAAGACTGTCCGCCTGGCCAGACCCAATGCCTCCCAGCCCTGGGGACTGCTTAGTTTACAGCAACCTGGCCATTCTTTGTCTCACCCTGTGAAATTTCCTCTGTGTCTACAGGGCTCTGTGTTAGTCAAAGACTCAACAGCTGTCTGGGGCCCTTGTTCGGTGTAGGGGGGAGGGAGCTGCTCCCAATGGGAAAGTCTCTAGGAGGCACCTGCTCTGTATGCTGCTCTGTCTCTCAGATCACCATCGCCTAACTCACAAAGAATGCTGTGCCCTAGTGGTGCCCCCCTTGGACCGGGCAGCAAGCCGGGCCAGTCACAGGGCTCCAGGCCTTGTCCTTCTCTTAGTCATCAGCTGCTTGGGCCCCAACGTTTGAAAACAGTTGTTTTGTATATTTCGGACAGTTTTCTAGTTGTTTATAGCGGGTGGGTAGGTCCAGGCTCAGCATGACTAAGCTGCCTGCTATTATCCTTAACACAGAAGACTATCCAGAGGTGATCTTTCAAACCCTCTGTGACTATGTCAACCCTTGTCTCTAAGCGACATGCTCAGAAACCAAACGCTGAGACAGTCCCCAGGGGAGCTCCGACCCACGCACGCTGCAGCAACACAGTGGCTCCCGTTAGAAATGTTCCTGTCATTGTTCCTCCCTCTCTCAGCATCCCCTGGCAAAGCTCCTGCCTCTGTCTGGTGCACGTGCCGTAACTACGACAACGCCTTTGGGAACCACACCCGAAAGGTCCCTGTTAAACTGGGTGTGGTGAGACAGAGAGGACAGAGCAGAATAAACTCTGGGGCTTTAGCCTTGTTTTCCAGAACTGGAACATTCCTCAGGGAGCAATGTGTCTGTGTCTGTGGAGGGAGGGAGGCTGCCTGCTGATCTCCCTGCTACACCCGGAGGTGCGGGGCCAGAGGGAAGCCCATGACCCTGCTGCTGAAGTTCGGGACCCCAGTCTAGCTTCAGCATCTGACACCACACCCCTGCGCTGAGCCAGCAGCCAGACTAGAGGGGAACCAGACCAGCCCCACCCACACGGGGCTCTCATCACCCGCTCCAGGGCACGTTGCTAGAGAAGTTGGGGCCCAGGAGCAAAACACAATGGGGTGGGGGGCTGATCCCAGTGGGAGAGCCTCTGGGAGGCACCTCTGCACTACAGTGTCTCTAGGTCTGAACCCTGTGGGGTCTCCGCTGACACGTGCCCAGATTACCTGCGCCTGGCCCGCGTGGGCACTTAGCAAATGAATGAACAAATGAACTGGAGCTGACTGTGGAGCTCCTCCCAGCCAGCTAAGGAGCTTGGAGGCCTCAGGGGCAGTGTGGACAGTGACAGGCAGGGGGAGAGGGGATCCCAGCATGGAGACTGTGGCAGGACCCCTGAGTGGGGACAGTGGCCGGGTGGATTCTGGAGAGGGAGGGACCCTGGAAGATGCCCATGCTTGGGGCTCATGTGCCTGGTGGGTTGGGTGGTGGTGCCACCCACAGATCAGATACCCAGGGAGTGAGAGGCAGGGTGGGTGAGGGACATGCCAGGACCACCGAGGAGCGGCAGCAGGGGGCGGGAGGGGCTGAAGCGGGTGCCCACACGGGAGATGAAATGTGCGGCAGAGGAGAACAAGGAGAGGAGCGGCCGCGGGCGCGGGGGCGAGGAGGGGCTGTGAGGGAGCAGCCTCCGCACCGCGGGCCTGTGCGCCCCCAGGAAGGAGGGCAGGTCCCGCGTTACAGCCAAGCGGGGTGACTGCGGGGTCTGGGCTGGGAGAGGGCGTGCTCCGGGGGGTCCACCTGCTGTCCCTTGGCCCGGCCCTGCCTTCCTCTGTAGCCGGGACCCATGGGGGGAGCAGGGAGGCGGGCGGGCGGCCTCACTCACCGGCAGACGGCGCACACGAAGCAGTCGGGGTGGTAGGTCTTGCCCAGCGCCGACACCACCTCGCCCTCGATGAACTGGTCGCAGCTGAAGCAGCGGGTGCCGTACAGCCTCTGGTAGTCCAGCGTGCAGATGTACTCGCCCTGGCGCACGAAGAAGCCGCCCTCCGCCAGGTCGCAGCCGCACACTGCGGGGAGGGCACGGGGCCAGGGTCGGGGGCGGGATCCTCTCCCAGGTCCCACGGCCCCGGTGGACCCACCACATACAGCCGCCCCCTCCCCCGACGCGGGCTCTCGTGGTTCACGGAGAAACCTGGGGGGGGGGGAGGTCCGGGCACAGGCTTCAGCTCCGGCCCCTCAGCCTGGACTGAGTGGACTTCCCTGTGGAAGCCTCCAGAAAGGGGCACTGACCTGGGAGGACACCAGGCCGTGCTGAGGGGCCACCAGCCTCCCTCCTTCACTCTGGGACCCCACCAGGGTGAAGTGCTGATGCCCCAGCCGCTCTGCTGATCCAGGCTCCCGTCCCCAGCACGGAACAGAATGGATCAGAAAGGCGCCTACCCCACCTGGGCTCTGTCTGGGTGGGGAGATCCCGTGTGGCAGACGACGGGTGAATCCCTGTGGTCGGCCCCCTAGGCTGCTGTGAGGCTTCCCCACCCTC